TTTCGGCAGTTGTCCTGTTTTACAGTGACGGCAGCTACTAATACTCGGCTCAGAATATGAGTATGAATTTTAGGCGTTTTTGGGTCCCATTCGAGTTGCAGGGATTGTTGTGAGGGCTTTTTTCTAGTCCAGGGAGTGTTGTGAGTGTCGCATTCAAGATTGCTAACCTCTCGTCATGTTCATTGCCAAGCTTCAAAACCCATACAGGCCCCGTCTCAATTTATACCTTTTAAGCACGATCTCAGCTCCTTTCCAGTCAAAAATCCCGTTTACGCATTATGCAGGAGCACTTTCTGCCACTGCAACTACATATGCCCAATTTGCATATGCACCGGGTTTGTTGGTAGCAAACATGCAAATTCACGGAGTTACTGGTTGTTAAGGATACCTTACGAGTACTATAAAAGGGAGCAGAAACGCCAGCGAGGTTAGTGATGTACGCTAAGGCAGCAGAGCCCAGACGCGACCCCACGGCATTCACCGGGGCTATTGGCAGATGCGCTTGCTCAAGAGAAGCCGGGCGATGGCATATCTGCTACTGGATCGACACCAGTTCAGAAGCGAGGAGCTCCGGAAAATCAGTGAAGAAGACTGCGAGAAGAAGTTGATCACTCAGGAAAGTAGTGGTGATCCGGCGGCGCAGTACGGCAGAGCTGTGCCTTTTCCGCTCTCGATGAGGCTTTTGTAAGAAGAACACTCACGAAGAAGGTGAAAATTCGGCGGTACGGGTGCATTCAAAGAACCTTCCGCATGTCTCGCGAGTGCCTCGACGTTGCAGTTCAGGAAGAAGCCCAGCGGATATACCAAGCAGCACCAGGACCGCTAAGAGTGCAGCATGAGAAGAAAGATATTGTTTGCCTCGAGCAACCAGATCTCGAAGATATCCAGCGATGTTTCGCGAAGCGTTGTCCACAGTGGTAGAGGACAACGACGAATGTTCAGAGAGTGAGGCAAGCATGCCGAGGAAGTGAAGTATCAGGCTACTTCGAAGAAATTGCTTCAAGGCATCTTGAAGACAAAGGAACTGTTCGGCTGAATTTGTAACGGCT